CAGAGGCTTTTGCTAGGAAGCTCAGATAATCTCTGGCACTGAGGCAGCGCTTCTGCACCTGCTTAAATCACCAAGTTGCAGGAGCTCAGTTGTGGCTGATTATTCTGGTGTCTTTCATAAAGTTTCCAAAAACCCACCCTTTCTGCTCAATGCTGACTGAAGGTAGGCACAGTCCCTTGATCCTCCTCCATGTCTGAAGGTTCTACTCCTGGGAGACCACAGGCTCTGCTGGAGCTGGCAAAGCAGAGTTGGGGCCAGGCTGGGGCTCCACAGCTGCAGGTCCAGGTCCCAGAGGAGGTTCTAGCTCATCCTCCAAGTCCTCCTCCAGACAGGGCATGACACTTGATGCTCTTTTGGATGAGGGCTGGCAATAAACACCCTTAACTTGGATATTCAGTACCATTTTCATTTCCTGAAAGATCTGCATTGATTCACATCTCCATCAGTGTGAATAAGCTTCTGAATCAATTGAGATAGCTCTGTATCACTCAAGGGAATGGAGGTGGCTCCATTTTATCCCAAAATAATGGCATGCGTGAATAACTAAGGGGTTACAATGACTCAAAAAGATTGACAGATTGGTATATAAGTAGCTCCCTGACTGGCCCAACCTCCATCCTCTCCCTTGCTTTTGGGCTAATGCACTATTCATTTAAAATTGTTACAAGTTTTGTGGTGGGTGGTTTGTCATGGGATCAGATCTACTTTGAGGGTGGGTGAGGCTGATATGATGGTCATATCCTGGTGGGACTTCCATTAGAGGACCTTGAGGATGGGGCAACATGGGTCAAACCCAGCTCAAGTGGCAAAGATCAACACATAAACTTTCACCCACAATGACATCCCATTTCCATCATTCCCATAGCACTCAGTAGTAGCACATGGGTTGGGTTTAATGATTGAAAGACAGATAGGTCAGTCAATGTATGAATCTGACCCCATACAGACCAGGCCTCCAAACAAAAATTGTGAGCTTTTATATCTCAAACTATGGTTGTATACCTGTTCACTTGCCAAAGTGCCACCTGCCCTGTTTCACCTCTGGACGCCATAACCCATTTAAACTGCTATGTTATTATCATATGAATTCTTGGGATTTGCAGTTTTGTGAGATATTTAGAATTCTCGGCCAGAGAGATGTAGTGCCTCACCAAACTACAAACCCATAATTTTACTGGATGTAGCCAGAACAGTTAAAGTAGAATGATAGTGCCATAATGTTTTCTTATGAAAGGGCCTAGATCACCCTTTATCTTATTTGTGACAGATAGATATTCAGAATGCAAACTGCCAGCATCTTGAACAATATTTTAGAAAATTCTCTTCTGAACAATTAAAGGTCAACACTTTAAAAAATGAAACTTGTAGACTGATAAAGATTTTATTTTGACTCTGATGAATGTATTGACTCCTTATGAATCCATGAGACCATTGAGAACCAGTGTGGCATAGTGGTTTGTGTTAGATTAGGACTCTGGAGACTAGAGTTCAAATCCCACCTCAGCCATGAAACCCATTGGGTGAACAGCAAACATCATCTGAACAAATCTTGCCAAGAAAACCTCATGACAGGTTCACCTAAGAGTCGCCATAGGTCAGAAATGACTTGAAGGTACACAGCAGCTGTAGCTATGAGGCCATTAAAGTGCTACGGTCACCCAGAGAGGCCCTTCCTTCTGGGTCACCCTCCTCTGAGGCTCATTTGGTGGGAACAAGGGAGAGGACATTCTTGGTAACTGCTCCCAGGCTTTGGAACTCACTCCCTAGAGAGGCCAGGATGGCCCTGTTCCTGCTTTCCTTTAGGCAGTAAGTTAAAAATATTTTTGTGCCATCAGGCTTTTACAAATTGATGAGAGTTGGGATTTTAAATGCTGTAGAATTCAGATGCCAAGGCTGGTATGTCATTTTTAATTATATTTTAATGTGTAGTATTTTTTTCTTTTTCAGTTGTTTTTTAAAATGTATCTTTACACTTTTAATGCTTTTGTATTATTTTTAATTTGTACTATTTTAAATTTGTTGGTAGTCACTTTGAGGCTCTAGAGAGAAAAGCAGTATATAAATAAATAAAAGGAGGAGGAGGAGGAGGAATGAGTAAATGAAATGATTGCCTATTTTTGATACCTGGGGGAAGAAAATATATTGCTTTATTCTCTGGAACACAGTTGGGATGCAATGGCTGAAAAGGTTGTCCTCCCTGTCCTGACACAATATATTAATCTCATTGTTGGGACACAAAAGAGTTTCCCCAGCCCCACCCTAGAAGACCTTAATCCTCAGTCAGGCACAGTTATGGAGAGGCATTCCCTTGAGTATTGAGGTCCCAAGCCATTTAAGTCTTTGAATGTCATCACAAACACTTGAATTCGAACTGGAAATTTATTGGTAGCCAGTTCAAGTCTTTTAAGACTGGCCTAATGTCCTGTCTACATGATACTCCTGTTAGTAATCAAATTACTGTATTTTGCACCAACTGCAGTTTCTTTTTCAAGGGCAGTCCCACATAGAATGTATTACATTAGTATAACTGGGAGGTTATCAGTTCATAGACTACTGTGGCTGGGTTAACTCTGTCCAGGAAAGGCCATAACTGGCACAATAGTTGAATATGACACCTAACATTCCATGTCACAGAGTCCATTTGAGCCTCCTCTTAGCCCTATAAAGCTAGATTCCAGGTTATTTGAAAGTCTGTATCTCCCTTTACAAGCCCATTAGAGTGCTAAGATCACCTGGAGAGGCCCTTCTCTCTGTCCCACCACCACCTCAGGCTTGTTGATTGGAACAAGGGAGAAGGCCTTCTCCATGACTGCTCCCAGGCTCTGGAATTCCATCCCTAGAGAGGCCAGGATGGCTCCATCTCTATTCTTTTGGCAACAGGTAAAAACATTATTGTGCTGTCAAGCTTTTTCAGACTGATCATGGTTGAATCCCATTGGAAGAAAGGTGGGATATAAACCCTGGAAATAAGTAAATGTAAATGATGTGCACGTCAGGTTTTAAGGTCTGTATAGAGTTTTTAATATGCCTTAATTTTAAAGTGTAATGTGTTTAACTTTTTACAATTATTTTTTAAAAAACCTTATATATGTATTTTAATGCTTTTACATTGTTTTTAACTGGTTCTGTTTTAAATCTGTTGTTAGCCACCTTAAATCCCCATATTGGAAGAAAGATGGGATATAAATGTAATAATAATAATAATAACAATAATAGAATCAGGTGTCTCAAATAAATTTCCTGAGAGAATAGACTAGGATCCATTTCTGCCTCCTTCAACAGTATATGGAAGCTAAAGTTTAGGCAGAAAAAGAACAAAGCTACAGACAAGGATCGGATGTCAAAAGGGCTAAGAGTCTGGGGAGTTTATTGCATGCACTTTTCAGCCCAATCTGTGCATGGAACAGGATCAGACTAGAATGGGGGAAAACGGGTTTTACCGCACATGAAATAGCTGCTGTGCTGCCGGCCGACCACCATCCATCCCCAATCTGGTCTCTGCCAGCGATTTTTGGGCAGCAGAGGCTGGATCGGGGACGGGTGGTGGTCGGCCGGCAGCACAGCAGCAATTTCATGTGCAGTAAAACCCGTTTTCTCCTGTGCCAGCCTGATCCCATCCTGTGCACGGATCAGGCTGAAAAGTGCATGTGATAAACTTCTGGAAGTTAGAAGTCAAGTGCACAAAGCCTAAGGCAAGTCCCCAGAATTATCAAGTTGAATTTAGAAACACTTAGCTTCATGCAGCAGAAGGATAGAAAATAAGACCAGAATCCTGGAACAAAAAGTCTGGAAGCAGGAAGCCTGAAAGTGAATACTGAGATGGCTAAATCAAAGGCTAGAAGAATAAAGTTAAGAGCACAAAGCCCAAGGCCAGAAGTCAGAAATACAATGTGGGAAGATAGCCCTGTTCTCTTGTATAGTGCTAGATGGTGGAAGCTAGAGTCTAAAAAGCAAGAGCAAGTCTGTAACTTGTGAGATGGCCTAACAGTATTTTTTTAAAGCAAAGTTGTTTCATGGAATGAATAGCTAAAGTCAAATTAATATTAGCTCCACTAGTTTGGAGAGTATGCTGATTAAGTAGTGAGTAATTGTATTGTTTGTTATGTGAATTTCTGGGAAATGATGCGAAAACAAAATTATATGATTATGCACTGATGCTCAAATTAACAGAGAAGGAAGATAAGAATGTAATAATTTTGTACATAATTAGTTCATATGTATTCTGTGCTCAGAAAGTAAAGCAGTCATTTTTTGAAATA